ACACAAAGGAAACTCTTTCAGGGTCACACAGGTATAAACAGCAGAAGAAAGATATGAACAGCACTCATAATATATCCATACCACAGACCTCCTGTTATCTGAGAAATACCCACATCCCCACTAGGGGCACCCATAGGTCTTTAAACAGCCCAAAATAACAGAGATGAGGAAGAAAAAGACTGAAACCACGCGAGGTCTGAAAACACGATCTCAAGTGACCTTAGGAACAAAGAAGGATACAGTAGTTTCCTCCACTCAGCTGAGGTTTTGCTTTCTGTAGTTTTGCTTTCCTTAGTATCAATTATCTGTGATCAACTACAGTAATGGCAAAAATCTTAAATGGAAAATTTCAGAAATAAACAATTCATAGGTTTTAAACTGCATGCCATTCAGAGTAGCATGAGGAAGTATCTTGCTGCCCAGCCTGGGATGTGAATCATCTCTTTGTCCAGCATATCCATACACTATATATGCTGCCTGCCCAGAAGTCACTCAGTAGCCATCTGTTATCAGATCAACTGCTGCAGTACTGATCTATTTGATTACTAGTTATTGTTGTTAATCTCTTACTGTATGTAATTTATAAATTAAACTTCATCATAGGTATGCATGTACAAAAAAGACAGCATATATAGGGCTTGGTAATGTCTGTGGTTTCAGGCACCCAGTGGGGGTCTTGGAACATATCTCTTGAGGACAAGAAGGGACTACTGTGCTCTGAACCAGAGCACCTGAATTCCTTCCACAGAATTATACCCTACTTGCCCATAGTCCCCTTTCTAGAGATCTCTACTTTCAAGGGGCACCTGAACTCTTAATACCAGTCCTGCCTCCTAAGGTAAGGAGAAGTTAGTGCAAAAGTGCAGTGTAGATAAAACATCACAACCATTTGATACTTACCCTTGGGGCACTCACGCACATGGATGCATGTGCAGGCACATAGACACACAACTCTGCTGGGTCGTACACAAAAATTAATGCAAGGAAGGAACTGCAAAATACCATTTAGCACTTCATGACACCCTGATTATCTGAAAGACTATCATCTAAAATAATCTATGCATTACTCAGGCAGGCTCCTAAGTGGCAATAAATATTCACCTATGAACCTAACTCCATGGGGCATACCTTAAAGATTAAAAAAAGGAATAGGATTTACAGGAACTCTTCTGGAACCTGCTGGGATTTAAATATACCCTAAATCTCCAATAACAAACTTAAAAAAACAACTTTCAAGTGCAAGACTAATCTCCTAAGACAAGGTTAGGTTGGAGTCCTTCAATGCCCATGCCTGCATAAGAAATCAGCTTGTCAAATACTCACTTTAAAAGAAAAAGCAATGGGATAAGAACAAAGCATATCTTCCCTCTCTGAAGCTGGGGTCAAATTTAGTAACTGATGCTCCACTTCCTCTTCTGTCCACGGAAGGAGGGGTGGACTTAGAAGTTTGTTTAGATCTTTTCTGATTCTTCACATTCTACAGTTACAGTTCTACAGTTTAGAAAAGCAGTCTCACTTCTGCATTCTTCTGCCAGATTCAACTATTCACACTAAGCAAAAGAGAAATTTAAAAGACAATGGTGTGTCATGGAAAAATAATCTGAACAATTTGGGAGGTCAAGGCAGGCAGATTGCTTAAGCCCAGGAGTTTCAGACCGGCCTGGCCAACATGGCGAAACACCATCTCTACAAAAAAAAAAAAAAAAAAAAGTACAAACATTAGCCATGCTTGGTGGCACATGCCTGTAGTCCCAGCTACTCAGGAGGCTGAGGTGGGAGGATGGTGTGAATCTGGGAAGCAGAGGTTGCAGTGAGCTGAGATGGCGCCACTATACTCCAGCCTGGGCAACAGAGTAAGACCCTGTCTCAAAAATAAAAAGAAGAAAAATATTTTGACTATATAAAAAGCCATAAAATAGGTTTCTAACTTTTCCACTTCCAGGCATCTGTCCTAAGGAAACAAATCCATTGCTTATTTATCACTGTGTGTTCCTCCAGAGGCTGCACCGGATATCACATTAGGAAACCAGACCCGGCAGCACTCTCCCTCTGCACACCGACCTGGCATTCGCAGAGTACAAAAGCTGTTGGGCCTTTCTGTATCACTTCCTTCCACTCAGATATGGGCTATGCAGAAGCACAGAGAACAACTTTTATGAAGTTTCTACCTAAAACTTTGGGTAAAATTTCAGGTTGCTGAACAGAGAGATGCACATCATCTAAATGTAAGATATCTCCCATGTCAACACAAAAATCACAGTTGGATTAAGGTTTTAATAAAAACATTTAAAGCCAATTAAGCTCACCCTATCTCTCATCCCTGTTACGCTTTGCCGAAAGCTCCAACTCCTTTGTGCACTTCTTATCTCCCTACTCACAATGCCACACCCTTCTAGGTTTTCCTTCAGATGTGCTTCCTTTGTCACGCCGCACCCCAAGACCTGCCATGTACATCATCCATCACGCTGCATGGAATCTGCTAGAATTGTAAACAAACTATCCATGCCCTGACCTCTTCACTGAACGTTCTCTGAACCTCCTCTTCAACAGCTCTGGTTCTCTGCCAAGTATACCACACTCAAGTGGGTGAAGCTCATTCTCTCACTCCCGGGGGCATTGGAAAAAGAGGGTAAACATTTTTCTTTTTTTTTTTTTTTTTTTTTTTTTTTTTGAGACGGAGTCTCGCTCTGTCGCCCGGGCTGGAGTGCAGTGGCCGGATCTCAGCTCACTGCAAGCTCCGCCTCCCAGGTTTACGCCACTCTCCTGCCTCAGCCTCCCGAGTAGCTGGGACTACAGGCGCCCGCCACCTCGCCCAGCTAGTTTTTTGTATTTTTTAGTAGAGACGGGGTTTCACGGTGTTAGCCAGGATGGTCTCGATCTCCTGACCTCGTGATCCGCCCGTCTCGGCCTCCCAAAGTGCTGGGATTACAGGCTTGAGCCACCGCGCCCGGCCGGGTAAACATTTTTCAAACCTCCCTACCACTAGGTAGTTACTCCCCTATCACTCTTTCAAAAGCTATTCTCTGCTCCAACACCTCTCCTTTTAATGCCCACTTTATTAGCACTTCATCACTCTTAGTAGTAAATAATCTTCTCCCTAAGTGAGAGAAACAAACAAACATCATCATTGGATGAGAATCTCTTTGGATTCCTGCTCCCAAGCTATAAAAAGTATCTACAACCAGACCTTCTTTTCCTTCCTGGCACCTATCTCAGTGGACCAGGTGAGCTTCCTCCTATCAAACTATCCAAGGTGATTCCAAGTGTGCAATGTCCTCTTCTCCCTCCACCGTCTCCACAGACTGTATTTAATCACCCCCTTTATGGCATCTGCATATTCCACAAGCAAAGAAAATTCTCTTCAGTTTCATGTAATATGAATGTAGTAATATATAATATAAATGTCGTATGTCTTATATATATTATATATATTTTTTCCCCTTTGCCTTGATCCATTAATACTGTCTAGTTATCTAAGTAACATGCATTCTTTTTTTTTTTTTTTTTTTTGAGACAGGGTCTCGCTATGTCATCCAGGCTGGAGTGCAGTGGCACAATTATAGCTCACTGCCGCCCGCCTCAACCTTCCAGCCTTAAATGATTCTCCCACCTCAGCCTCCCTAGTAGCTGGGACTACAGGTGCATGCTATCACAATAGGCTAATTTTTTTTTTTTTTTTTTGAGATGGGATCTTGCTCTGTCACCCAGACTGGAGAGCAATGGCATAATCTCAGCTCACTGCAACCTCCACCTCCCAGGTTCAAGTGATTCTCCTGCCTCAGCCACCAGAGTAGCTGGGATTACACGCACACACTACCATGCCCAGCTAATTTTTGTATTTTTAGTAGAGACAAGGTTTCCATGTTGGCCAGGCTAGTCTCGAACTCCTGACCTCAGGTGATCCACCCACCTTGGCCTCCCAAAGTGCTGGGATTACAGGCATGAGCCACCAAGCCCAACCCATGACCAGGATTTTCAAAACACTAGTCAGCTCTTTCTGTGTCCAAGTTTTAACCTTGTGTTCAATTCTCAACACACTACTCTCTGAATTCACTTTACTAACAATGCTCAATGCTTACCAATGGCATCCATATGGCCAAGCCCCAGGAAAACTTCTCTGTCTTATCTACATTGACCTTACTAACATGTGAACATAGTTTGTGAAGACCCTTTTGTTACAATATTCTCTTTCTTTGCTTTCTAAGTCACTGTCTAGTTGACTAATTTTCTCCTACCTTTTGTTCATTCCAGCTCACCCCTTTCTTCCTCTGTTCATGCCTTAAGTATTGCTATCTTCCCGGACTCCAATCTTGACCCCATGCTTGCCTTATTGTTTAAGCTTCGTGTTGATGACCATTCAAATCCAAGAGTTTCACCTGCGCTTAATCTTGCTCTCAATTACCCATGTCCAGACAGACCTCAACATTAATTCCCAGACCCACATATCTAATTGATTCCATTTAGCTTTGTTGTTCTATGGCTACTTTAACCCTCAACATGTTCCAAGCTGAACTCATCATTTTCCCTTCCAACCCATTCATGTTCCTATAATATTATATTGAAGCACTAATTTCTCATATCTAGTTTTCTAGTCCAAAAACACAAGTCATCCTCAACTACCCCCTCTTACACTCAACATGTAATGAGTCAAGGGATTCCTGTAGATTTCCTCACTCTTAAATTGGTCTTCTTTTAATTTGTCCTCAAGTGCATTTGCTTGAGTTGTTAAAATAAACTCTGAATTAACCTCCCATTCTCTAAGCAAATACTCTGTGTAATCCATTTTGTGCACACCTGCAAGATACAAAATTGTACATACGGCAAAATTTTAAGTATATGAAATTCTCACGGTAATTGTCAAACATAGTGGATTTTATTCATAATATTTTTCTGTATTTTCCAAATGTTCTACCAAAATCATGCATTTTTTTAAGAAAAAAAACAAAAACAAGAAAAACCACTATTTTATAATGTGAAAACAAAGAGAAATGATATCATACCATGTATCAGTGGCATATCTAGAAGACAACATTCCTGTGTATGCTGAGGCCTTGGAAATAACTCGTGTCACTTGGTGTTGATATAAAGGCAAATCTTCTTGCTCCCTACTTTGAGCCACAACAGGAAGGTCAATGAGCAAGCTAGGACCTTGGGCATCATCCGGGATCATGCCTGAAGAGCAAATCCAGATAACAGTGAACACAAAAGGCATTCATTCTCCTTCAGTCATTCAACAACTAGGTATGGGCACCTACTATGGGAGGGGACTCTTCCAGGTAGGAGACTGAAAATATTAAAGTAAATAAATAAAGGCTTTAATATATCCAATGATGATAAGCACATTGGTGAAAAATAAAGAAGGAAGGAATATAGGAATTGTTCAACAGAAGAAGTTACAATTTTCAGCGGCCTCACTGAAAAAATGACATTTATGCAATATTAATATTACTAAAAAATCTAATCTTACTACAGATTTTCTCTTATCAACCTAAGCTTTCCCAATAAGAACTCTGACATTTCACTGATTAAAAAAAAAAAAAAAAAAAATTCCACAGGATAACAAACCAAATAAAATCACTTCTATTTTTAAAAGGGCTTTGTTTATACATTTCAGAATTCTTCTACACTAGTTTTCTCTTTAGAGACGGAGTCTCGCTCTATTGCCCAGGCTGGACTGCAGTGGCGCAATCTTGGCTCACTGCAACCTCCGCATCTGGATTCATGCCATTCTCCCTGCCCCAGCTTCCTGCATAGCTGGGACTATAGGTGTGGTGTTGCATGCAAAAATACAATAATGTTTGTATTTTTAGTAGAGACAGGGTTTCGTCATGTTGGCCAGGCTGGTCTTGAACTCCTGACCTCAGGTGATCCACCCACCTCAGCCTCCCAAAGTGCTGAGATTACAGGCGTGAGCCACCACGCCTGGCCTATACTTGTTCATTTAATTCTCACAACCAACTATGAGTTAGAAAAAAAAGACACTATCAACCATATTTTATAGACAGGAAAACTGAGGTTAAGAAAATTTGCCAATTTTTTACCAGTAGGTAAAGGGTACAGATTGCCATAATTTATTTAAATGTTTACAACAAACTTCCTAACAATTAATTTTGATTTCTACTTAGAAAGGTTCACATAATAAGCTTGAGATGTATGGTGGGGATTTTTGGACTTTATTTCTTATGTTCTTCCCTAGTTGTTGGTAGCATATTATATAATTATCATGTTAATTTAAGAAATTAAAAGCTAGTATTTTCTCCTTACATTTGCCCAAATAAAGAAAGCTCCTTTAGTCTCACCACAATAGATCAAATGTTGATACATGTATATATACTAGGCACAGTATAACTATCATATATAGATGTGTGTGTGGGTATGTCCACATATATTGTCTATACACATCCCCACACACACTATAAAAAGATAGTGCATAAGGTATAATATATAGGATTCAACACCATGGTTATCTATGGAGAGGAAGTTAAGCTGTGTTACAATGGTTTATTATTTAAAAACAGAATATTGGCCAGGTGCAGGTGCTCATGCCTATAAACTCAGCATTCTGGGAGATTGAGGCAGGTGGACTCCTTGAGCCCAAGAATTCAAGACCAGCTTGGGCAACATGCGAAACTCCAGGAGCCAGGCTTGGTGGAGCATGCCTGTAATCTCAGCTACTCGGGAGGCTGAGGCAGGAGGATCACTAGAGTCCGAGAGGATGATCACAGCGAGGAACGATGTCGCCACTGTACTCTAGCCTGGGCAACAGAGTGAGACCTTGTTTCAAAAACAAAAACAAAAGGAAAAAGAAACCCAGAAGATCTGGGGTTGAGGGAGAAAGCTGAGATGACACAGTTATGAGGGTAGACAGATAGTGTTTCATATAAACTGGAAAAATTTGGAAGATTATAAACCAAATCGCGATTACCTCTGCAGACAATTTTTTATTTCTACTTTTTGTTTATCTGCATTATCTTATTTATCCTCCAGGAACACACTTAATTGTTTTTTGTCACCAAGCATATAACCTCCTCAAAACTTTGCATTTTTGTTCTCTCAGCCATATCCCAAATGTTTTCACACAGGGCTGGCTTACTTTACTCACGTGTCAGTCAACTGTTACTAAAACAGCCGGACCACTCCATATAAAATAGGCCTCCTCCTCAAACATTCCCTATTTCTTTTTACTGCTTTATTTTCCCTCATGAACCCTATAATATTATACATTAATTTGTTATTGACTACCCCCACCAGAACGTGGGCTCCACGAGGGCCGACTTTATTTTGCTCATGGCTCCACTCTCATGACCCAGAGCAGCACTCCTATACAGAAAGCACCTAGCAAATATTTCTCAACACGTAAATACAGTACTTGCTTAATAAGCCAACAATGAGTTTTTAAGTTTAAAAAATAATGAGTATACTGTTTTCCAAAAGAAAGAAGAACAAAGAAATCTACAGCTCATGTTATGATTAGAATGGAAGTCCCATCTATTGTACATCCCACGGTCCATTCTACAGAACAAGTATATCTTTGAGCATCTCATAAAGGAGCTTTGAGACTTCTGATTAAACACGCTCAGTGATTTGGGAATGCCATTTATTCAAATGATATAAATGGGGAGCCTAAAATAATTGTGCTTAATCAGACAAGGTAAATGGAGGGCCTAAAGATCGGGCTGGGTGCGGTAGCTCACACCTGTAATCCCAGCACTTTGGGAGGCCGAGGTGGGTGGATCACCTGAGGTCAGGAGTTCAAGACCAGCCTGGACAACATGGCGAAACCTCGTCTCTACTAAAAATACAAAAATTAGCCAGGCGTGGTGGCACACATCTGTAATCCCAGCTACTCAGGAGGCTGAGGCAAGAGAATCGCTTGAACCCAAGAGGCGGAGGTTGCAGTGAGCCAAGATTGCACCACTGCACTCCAGCCTGGGCGACCAAGTGAGACCTTGTTTGAGCTTTAAGTCATATTTTAATCACTATAATGTGTGATATTTTAAAATGTTTTTTCTTCCAAGAACATAGTGTTCAAAGAAATACATTGCATGAAAAACTGTTTTGGCCAGCACGGTGGCTCACGCCTGTAATCCCAACACTGGGAGGCCAAGGCAGGTGGATCGCTTGAGGTCAGGAGTTCAAGACCAGTCTGGCCAACATGACAAAACCCTGTCTCTACTAAAAATACAAAAATCAGCTGGGTGTGGTGGCACACACCTGTAATCTCAGCTACTCAGGTGGCTGAGGCATGAGAATCTCTTGAACCTGGGAGGCGGAGGTTGCATTGAGCCAAGATCACGCCACTGTACTTCCAGCCTGAGCGACAAAGCGAGACTCTATTTCAAAAAAAAAATGTTTTAACTGTGGTTCATGGATCCTGTGAAGCTGCCCCCATAGGCCCCAGCATAAGGCTTCTGAGCAGACAGGTCAAATTCAAGGTCCTCCCCGGCACACAAGGTCCCCACAGCTGGACTCTTCTGAATGTCTCCGCTGCCTGCCTTATGTATTCTTCACTCTGCACTGAGCTGTGTATGCTAAACTCTTCCAAACATGATGCTTTTCTCTGTCTGTAATTCTAGAAAATAGAGAACAACAAATAGTGCCTTAGGTTTTCCAATGCATGGCACAGTACGTTGTAGATAGATTTTATTTTATTTTACTTTATTTTATTTTATTTTATTTTATTTTATTTTATTTTCAAGACAAGGTCTCGCTTGGTCACCCAGGCTGGAGTGCAGTGGTGCAATCTTGGCTCATTGCAACCTCCGCCTCCCAGGTTCAAGTGATTCTCCTGCCTCAGCCACCTGAGTAGCTGAGATTACAGGTGTGTGCCACCATGCCCGGCTAATTTTTGTAGTTTTAGTAGAGACAGGGTTTCGTCATGTTGGCCAGACTGGTGGTCTTGAACTCCTGACTTCAAGTGATCCACCTGCCTTGGCCTCCCAAAGTGTTGGGATTACAAGCATGAGCCACCGTGCTGGCCAAAACAGTTTTTCCTGCAATGTATTTCTTTGAACACTGTGTTCTTGGAAGAAAAAATATTTTAAAATATCACACATTATGTGATTAAAGTATGACTGAAAGCTCAAACCCGTGTAAGATGATAAAATACTATTGTACTGGGTTGAGTAATAATAACATAGCTTTTATTCAAATGGTAAGAAATCAAGTGTATGCTCTTATCAAGATTGTGGACATCTATTTTTTGGTTTGCATACCTTCTATGGATTTAAAAATATCTGGTAGAGCTTAACCTAGAAAATGTAACAAAGAAAAAAAGTTCTAATGCACCTTCTATATTTTGTTTTGTTTCCCATCAAATAAATGTGAGAAGACACAAAACCTTAAGTATTTTACTTCTTTGGCTAATGGGGTAAGAAGCTGAAGCTACAAAAATACCTTTAAGTGTATCCAACATTCTGTGGCTGTTCTTCAATCACGCATTCACAAATTCACTTAACAAATGTTTATAAAGCACCCGCTACTTGCCAGGAACTATTCTAGGCATTAGAGATAGCTAAATGTACAAAACTGACAAAGTTCCTATTCCTGGGAGCTAACATTCTAGTGGAGAGAGATACAGAAAGAACACAGCACAATTTTAGCTCATGGTAAGTTCTAAGAAGGAAAATAAAGCAACAGGTAGGAACAGAAAGAAACAGGTGAGTAGCTCGTCAGGTGTGCTGGGATCACACCTGTAATCCCAGCACTTTGGGAGGCTGAGTCAGGTGGATCACTTGAGGTCAGGAGTTTGAGACCAGCCTGGCCAGCATGATGAAACCCCATCTCTACTAAAAATACAAATTAGCCAGGTGTGGTGGCGTGTGCCTGTAATCCCAGCTACTTGGGAGGCTGAGGCAGAAGAATAACTTGAACCCAGGAGGTGGAGGTTGCAGTGTGCCAAGATCATGCCACTGCACTCCAGCCTGGATGACAGAGTGAGACTCTGTATAAAAAGAAAAAGAAAAGAAAAAATAGATGGAGTAGTCAAAAACCTGGATGGTGATAGGGAATCAGTCCCATAAAAATCTGCAATACCATTCTAGGTAGGAGGAATAGCATGAGGAGGAGGCTTGATGAAAGAGATGGAATTTTACCAATGTTTTGATTTGCCACTACAAAAAGCACTGTTGCTTAGCAATATACCAAGCAAAAGAATGGGACCCAGAAGTAGTTGGGCTCCAAAAAAAAAAAAAAAAAAGAAAATTCTGAAACCCTAAGTCCTGTGAGCCTTATTTGTTCTTCTCACTGTACTGGAGAACTCTGCAATGATAGAAAAACCAAATTACAAACAACGTCTCTCCCATCTTAGAAGTGGGCAGTTAGGTTTTGGGTCCAAACAGCACAGCTTCAAACTTTTCTTCTTCTTTTTAAATAGTTTATCTTATTTGATGGAGGCCTTCATTCTAGATCGTCAAGGTCACATTGGATCTTAGCTCTGTCATCCAACATACTGACAATCCTTCCCAATTTCCTGGAATGTGTGAATTTATCCAACATGCCATCTGTGCCATTACCCCATTTCCTGAGAAAAAGAATAACCAAGGCAACCTGTGCATAGAGTCCTATGGCCTATATTAGAGACCTGTACCTATGCAGGCATAAACCCATTAATCACTCATAGGATATACCCCAGTAATTCATTATAATTTATCAGCCCATTGTTTTTATCATGTTTACAAGAATATGATGAATTGTGCATCAAATGTCTTCCTTAAGCCCGTAAGTTCAGCCGGGTGTGGTGGCTCACGCCTGTAATCCCAACACTTTGGGAGGCCGACGCGGGCAGATCACGAGGTCAGGTGTTCAAGACCAGCCTGGCCAACATGGTGAAACCCCATCTCTACTAAAAATACAAAAAAATTAGCTGGGTGTGGTAGCACATGCCTGAAATCCCAGCTACTCAGGAGGCTGAGGCAGGAGAATCACTTGAACCTGGGAGGTGGAGGTTGCAGTGCACCGAGATTGCACCACTGCACTCCAGCACGGGTGACAGAGACAGACTCCATCTCAAACAAACAAACAAAAATAATTCCATAAGTTCATAGTATATTTGGGGTACCTGCCTTAGTAGAAAATCACAAATGACCTCTGACTAAGCAATACAGATACTCTTTTAAAACTTTTTTTTTTTTTTCAATAGAGATGGGGTCTCCCTATGTTGCCCAGGCTGGTCTAGAACTCCTGGGCTCAAGTGATCCTCCTGCCTTGGCCTCACAAAGTGCTAGAATTATAGGTACGAGCCACCATACCTAGCCTAAAACTTTTCCTATAATCATCACTGAAACTCTTTCCATGCATTCATCTTGAACAAATTTTCTAGTAAACTCACTACCACTTCTGCTTTTCATTTCATCTAGAAACTTTGGAATCAGGGTCTAACCCAGTTGGCAATGTTGTAGATATGGGGTGAAAATACTGTCATGCTTGGTGGGATTAAAGGAAGTCTCAGTTATCTTTCCCCAATCTCCATACTCCCCTTTGCTCCCATCCACTAGGGCGTCCATTCCCACACAACAATCAAAGCACTGCCCCACTGTTCCAGCTTTGCTGATGTCTGCCTCTCCCCCATTGAGGAGGAAGGACCAGGACAGGACTGGCGCTCAGGCAGGAATGGCCTAAAACCAGAGTTTTCAGAACAGAAAACTGGTTCTATTTACAGAGCTATGTCCCATCCAGCTACACTGGAAAAAGCAGTCTATTAAACTACACCACTAAGTTGCGTAGATTGGTGCAGTTTAAAACTTCATGAATTGCTCCACACAAAGGCTACCTGTGCCCTCTGCCCCACTGCCTCCTCCATGTACCCTGTTGGTACACAGGCACACATTTCTCACTTGTCACAGCACTTCACACAGTTACACTTTACAGAGCTGTCCACCAAGTGCACAGAGAAACCCAGGAGCCCATGAAAAAGACTGAGTCCTGTAGGGCATCTGTAGTTGTCAGGTAATGGTCATAACAGGGGTACAGAGGCTGGGTAATTTACAAAGAAAACATGTTTAATTGACTCACAGTTCCAGAGGCTGTACAGAAGGCATGGCTAGGAAGGCCTCAGGAAACTTACAATCATAGCAGAGGGGTGAAGGGGAAGCATGTCTTCACATGGCAGTAGGAGAGAGAAAGCGTGCGCAAAGGAGGACGTGCCACACACTGTTAAACCATCAGATCTCTTGAAAATTAACTCACTATCATGAGAACAGATGGGGGAAATCTGCCCTCATGATACTATCACCTCCCACCAAGTCCCTTCCCCAATGTTGCGAATCACAATTCAACATGACATTTGGGTGGGGACACAGAGCCAAACCATATCAGAAGTTAATGCCTATAGGAGAGGAATGGCAGAAATTTTCTAAAGGTCTACATTTCGTGAGACGCAAGAATGGAATAACAAAATAAAGGCAAGGAGAATCCAAAGGAGAGATCGGGTTACTATACAACTTAGCAACTGGAAAAAAAAAAAAAAAGGAGTGAGCTGATATGCTGTTGAATAACCACGTGAGCAGTACATCATTTTCTCATTCAACAAATATTTCTCGAGCACCTACTATGTGAACATAATCAGATACAGTCCTTATTCCCCTGAAGCTTAGTGTGTAGTAAGAGACAGGCCTGCAAGTAAGCATGTGCACTGAGTCTTGACAATAACACAGAATCACCTTGGACTTGCAAATGGCATAACCCAGTCTTTGAGCAGTCAAAGACTGGGAAACAGAACTACCTTCTGTCTGAAATCTTCCAAAATATTGTAACACTAAGTATATTACTCAATGCAATAATGTCAATAATGACATTATTAATTATCCAAATTTAAATATTTAGTTTCATAACCTATGAAGCGTATATGCTTTTTAAAGATATATAATTTTGGATTAACCAAAAGGTCAAGAATATCCCTTTACGCAGAGGTTCTCAACAATTATTTCTAAATTCATTGTTCTGTAGATAAATCTAAGATTGCCTCTTATTCTACTGCTCCTCCACCCAACACCAGCCCACATAGCTAGTCTATTTCTTTTTATCTTGACAGTATAAACCAGTGGTTTATACAGTATACATTTGGCAACATCTGGAGACATTTTCATTTTCATCATGACTGGGAGAGGGTGTGCCACTGGCATCTAGGGTTAGAGGACAGGGACGCTGCTAAGCATCCTACAATGCACAGGGTACCCCACCCTCACTGAAAGACTCATCTGGTCCAAAATGGTGCTAAGTTTGCTTTAGTATTAATAGTAATGAAACAGATATGTTCTATTTATTCATTTACTGAAACATATGTGCTATAAATCTTCTCCAACTATTTAATAGAGAACTGCAAGAAATGTGGTGAATTTTAGAAAGCAATATACCTGGAGAGTTTTATTCTGGTAAGTCCCATTTTTCTCCTAGTCATGATCTCGAAAACTTGGATAGATTCATCTAATCTTAGATATTTAAAATTAAGTAGTCATACTCTGTCTTCTTTTTTTTTCCGTGCTCTGTTTTGACCCACAGGAAACTGTATGTTATCATCTCAGAGATGCCTGCAATTTTTACCCTTAAGTATTCAATTTTTTAGAATTTACTTAATAGAATCCTAATCTCGTATAAAACTGTTACATCACTTTCTGTAGCCCTCTCTACCCTTACAACATATTACTATACAACACAGAGAAAGACTTATAAGTAGTCATAACAAGTGAAGGACAGCATAAATCCTCAACAATGGCTCTATAAATCCCAGTGCTATGAAAGCATTTAACAATCCCCCTAGGGATGTCAATTTTATAATGACATTCGATATTTTAGTGTTAGATGAAGAAAAATTCTTTTTTAAAGTCAAGTTTTCAAACATATATAAGAATCGATATTGAGGGGCAGCAGGGCGAGGCACTATACTTTTAGAATTCTTTAATGGAAACTAAGTTATTAATGTACTAAAATTGACTGTAATATATGGCTATAAAAATGTTTCATAAATGTTTAAAATATGCCTCTCTTTATTAATATTTAACAGTCCCATTAAATGAGCTAGCAATATTACTTAAGAGCATCAGAGATTTTAATACATATTAGTAGAAACTTATTTCAGATTTGGCGTAAGGTTCTAGTCTGAGTTTCAATCCATACTGCTAGTAAAATGCAACATGAGGCAGAGAAAATGTAGCCCTCTCAGAAAAGAGAATCTGAAAATTCTAAGTTGAAATCTGAGGCTTGTTTATTCTTTCAGATATTCTGAAGCAGATTAATTAATAAGCAGATGTAAACTCAAAACATCATAATGAATAAAAATACATGTAAAATTCATGTATACAAACATAAAAATGAAAGCTTGCAGAATAATGTAATTTGTGTTTATGAGAAACAAAAGCCACAAACCTAAATCCAGACTACTTTTTGCTAATGAATTAAGATTTTCCAGGTCATCAAATCTGCATTGTTGACTGTTTCCTTCAGTTGATGGTACAGATGGTAGGGACTCCATGACAAAATTTTCTTTCATCTTGAGAGGAAGAAAAATAGAAATGCATTAGTACTTTATGAAAAAAAATGTATTACTGTACAGTTGTTCAAGCCAAGTAATAATGATAGTGGAAAACTGGCCTTGCAAACAGGCATTCTCAAGTAATGGTTTATACTGTGGTAAGCAGTAACAAATTCTGGTAACAATATCTGCAAGAGTATAGGCTAGCAAAATCTGTTTATTCAGTCCTAGATTTTTAACCAAAAAAACTGCTTTATAAGCCTTAATAAGTGGATTTAAATAAACATATACCAAGGTAGAGGAATAAAAGATCTATCAGGTCAAGCAAGGTCAATTGCAGATACACACAGCCTCCTGGATTGTGTTGCACTGATATCTACAGATAAATAGCTTCCTTGCTGACTCCAAAATATGTGATAAATTTTCATATCTCTAAGCATTTGTTAGCACTCTTATCTGCCTGGTGAATACCTAGCTACCCAAACCTAAAACCTACAGGTAAGTGTTGTTGATAACTTAACTGCATTTTCCTCCCATCTTGCTTTTATATACATGTCTTTTATGGTTTTCCAAAGTCACAATCTTCCAGAATGCCAAAATATTTATGTTCCCCCTGACCCCGCAAATTCATGTGTTAAAATCCTAACCCCCAAGGTGAAGATATTTAGAGGTGGGGACTTTTGCGGGGTGATAGGGTTATGAGGGCAGAGCCCTGATGAATGGGATTGGTAGTGCCTTTATAAAATAGGCCCAAGGGGCCAGGCGCGGTGGCTCACACCTGTAATCCCAACACTTTGGGAGACCAAGGCAGGTGGATCACTTGAACCAGGCATTCAAGACCAGCCCAGCCAATATGGGGAAACCCTGTCTCTACTAAAAATACAAAAATTAGCCAGGCATGGTGGTGCACGGCTGTAATCCCAGCTACCTAGGAGGCTGAGGAGAATTGCTTGAATCTGGGAGGCAGAAGTTGCGGTGAGCTCAGAACAGGCCATTGCACTCCACCTGAGTGACAGAGAGAGAGAGAGAGAGAGACACTGTCTCAAAAATAAATAAATAAATAAATAAATAAATAATGGGCCCAAAGGAGCTTATTCCACTCTTCCACCCTGTGAGGACACAGCTAAAGGATGACATTTATGAACCAGAAAGGGGGCCCTCACTGATGCAGAATTTTTTGCTCCTTAACTCAGCTAATCTGGGTTCTTGTCTCACGATCAGGAAGAATTAGGCACACGGACACACTGAAGAGTGAGAAGGGTGGAATTTTTAAGCAAAAAGAAAGCTCTCAGCAAAGAGAGGGGGTCCTGCAAGCAGGTTTTCACATCCCAGATTGAATACCTGGGCTACCACACACCAGCTGAAGAGGCCAGGCTCCTCCCCTGCATAAGACACAAATTCCTGGTGGCTTCACCCCATTCATGGGTGGAGTGCTTGGGTCTCCAGCCTGCTGTGGGCATGCCTAGGCAAACTCCCTGTGCAAGTTCCCTTATCTGTACAAAACATCTGGTGTAAACACTTGTGGGCGGGGTCAGAGGTTCTCCAGGGACCCTTCCCTATCTGCCTAGGCCTTTGTCCGCCTCCTGCCTCTAACATCACCAAATGTGTGGACATCTTCATCTTGGACTTCCCAGCCTTCATAACTGTGAGAAATAAGTTTGTTTGTTTATAAGCTACCCAGTTAATGGTATCTTGTTATAGCAGGCCAAACAGACTAAGATAGAAAACATCATATTTTCACTTTAAGTATCTTTTTATATTTTAAAAAATTTTATGGCCAGGTGCAGTGGCTCATGCCTGTAATCCCAGCACTTTGGGAGGCCGAAATGGGTAGATCACTTGAAGCCAGGAGATTGAGACAAGCTGGTCAACATGGTGAAACCCCATCTCTACAAAAACATTACAAAAATTAGCCAGGCATGGCAGTGTGTGCCTGCAGTCCCAGCTACTCAGGAGGCTGAGATGGGAGAACAGCCTGAGCCTGGGAGGCTGAGGCTGGAGTGAGCTGTGATCATGACACTCCAGCCTGGGCAAAAGAGTGAGACCCTGTCTCTATAAATAAATAAATAATAAAAATAAGAAATTTTATCAGTACAAATTTAAATGACTATTTTATAGCCACCTTAGGGATGTACCATAATTCATTTAAGGTGACTAACACTACACTATTCTTTATTGCTAGAATTTCGAAAACAAGATGGTCTACTTTTTCTGTAAAGTGGTCAGACTTCAATGATAAGAGAAGGATCATTCATAAGCTGGTATACAAAATACTTCCAGCTTTCCAAAGTAGAATATGAATTTGGTAATGCTGGGCAAGGTGGCAGAGCCCCAGCAACAGAAAGTGATTGGCACGCAGGTAGTAAAGAGAATTTACTGACAACAGCACAGGCTTAAAAAGTCAAGTTTTCTTAGACAGAAAGAACGTTGTAGTGGGGCGCTTCAGCAAGAGAGGACTGAGTGGGCCTCCGTGGATTTTCCTTAGGGGTATTTGTAGACCTTAAAGCAGGAACTTAAGGGTAATTTGGACCCTATTAGTTTTGCAGGTCATGATAGATGATTACATTTGTAGACATGTTGGTGCCTTCATGTCCGCAAAGGCTGCACAATGAGTTTCGATATGCATGCATTCAGGAGATATATAGAAATTCTAGCTACTTATACATTTCTGGGAAAGCAACCTGGTAACCAGATGCTGGCTTTAGATAACAGGGAAGTCTAATTGCTTCTAAATTCCTCAGATAAGGAGTTTTGCCTCTGGATGGCCTGCTTGATGACCACCAGGTGATCTTTGCTCTCTTCATTATACATCTAAATTCCTCAGCTAAGGAGTTTGCCTCCAGATGGTCTGCTTGATGGCCACCAGGTGATTTTTGCTCACCTCAGGTAAGTATGTAACTATATCAGATACCTAATGGAGCCTAAGGAACACAGGACTCGACTCAAATATTAAATAGGGGTAAGAAAGGGGATCTGACTACATAGATGCCTAGAATAAAATAAGCAAGAACTTCTTACAGAAAAGAGTGAGGAGTTGGAAGGAACTGCACAGTTAAAAAGAAGAAGGTTATAATTTGGGGCCACTTGGACTTTTTAAACAGTTAATGGTAATTCTGTTAGTAGTAAATGAAGAAGAAAACTGATATCCAAATCTGGGATTTTAATACATTGGGTATGATAGGTGAGATCTTTATAAACCTGAATTTCTGGCTGGGAGCAGTGGCTCAAGCCTGTAATCCCCACACTTTGGGAGGCCGAGGCGGGTGGACTCCTGAGGTTGGGAGTCCGAGACCAGCCTGGCCAATGTGGTGAAACCTCATCTCTACCAAAAAATGCAAAAACTAGCTGGGCGTGGTGATGGTATCTATAATCCCAGCTACTTGGAAGGCTGAGGTAGAAGAATTGCTTGGACCCCGGAGATGGAGGTTGCAGTGAGCTGAGATCACACCACTGCACTCCAGCCTGGGTGACAGAGTGCGATTCCATCTCAAAAAAAAAAAATATATATATATATATATAAAAATATATATATATGATTATATACATATTATATATATATGATTATATATATATATAATTATCCAGGCATGGTGGCGCATGCCTGTAATCCCACCTACTTGCGAGGCTGAGGCAGGAGAATCGCTTGAACCTGGGAGGCAGAGGTTGTGGTGAGCCAAGATTGCACCACTGCACTCCAGCCTGGGCAACAAGAGCGAAACTCCATCTCAAAAAAAATAAAAAATAAATTAAATAAACATGAATTTCTTTTTTCTGTTTTTTGTTTGTTTTTGTTTTGTTTTTAATAGAGAAGATTTTTTTTTTTTCTAAAAAGAGAAGAAAATAAGAACATAGAATTATTCTTAGGTAAATAACCCTCAGGCAAAAAACAAAAACAAAAAAACAACAAATCTTTAAAAAATGGACAAAGGACTTGAACAGACATTTCTCCAAAGGAATACATAAAGATGGCCAAATAAGCACATGAAAGGATGCTCAATATCACTAATTGTTAGGGTAATGCAAAACAAAATATAAAATAGCACTTTATACTCCTAAGAAACAAACACAAAGCCAGCAAACAAGTGTTGGAGAGACTGTGGAGAAATTTGAAACCTCGTGCTTTGCTAATGGAAATATAAACTGGAGCAGCTGCTTGCTGTAGAAAACAGTATAGCTCCCCAAAAATTAAATATAGCATTAGCATATGATCCAGCAATTCCACTGCTGAGTATATACTAAAAAGAACTGAAAGCAGGGATTTCAACAGATATTTATATCCCAATGTTCATAACAGCATTATTCGCAATGGCCAAAGGTAGAAACAACCTAAATATCCATCAACAGATGAATGGAAAAACAAAATATGGTATATATGGTGGGGACCTACAGGAACCTCAGAGTTGGTGTTGATAGTGACAGGAGGCAGAGAAATTTAAGGGCAGGTCCCTGACAAAACCCCACCCTCAAGCCTAAAACCATGGCCCAAAGTAAGAACTTCTATCCTTGTTTTCCTGCTCAAATGTTACCTTTTCCTAAACCACCCATGCCCTCACCCCATCCCATCCTGTGCCTATAAAGACCCTAGATTCAGCTGGCATAGAGGAGAAGCAGCTGGATGTCAGGGACTACAGCTAGACATCAGAGAGAAGAGGCTTGACTTTAGAGGGACAGTCTGACAGTGTAACTTTGGAGAAGAATCCAGCCAGAGACGGCTGGACTTCTGGGGAAGATTACCTACCCACCTCTCCATCTCCTTTGCAGCTCCCCTTCCCACTGAGAGCCACTTTATTGGCAATAAAATCCCCACATTTACCATCCTTCAATTCGTTCGTGCAGCCTCATTTTTCCTGGATACCAGAAAGAACTCAGGAGCCACAAGTGTGATACAAAAGGCTGTTACACTGGCCCTTTGCCCTCACTGGGAGAGGGCAGTTGCCTCACGTGAAAAGGCCAAGGGCCAACTGAACTGTTAACACTTAAGCCACCTGCAGATGGCAGAGCTAAAAGAGCACTGTAAC